GTAGTCGTACGGCTAGTCGTAGACATAGTCGTCGTCGTCGTTGTAGTAGTAGTCGTCGTCGTTGTCGTAGATTGTGTAGTCGTAGTAGTAGTAGTAGTAGTAGTAGTAGTAGTAGTAGTAGTAGTCGTTGTCGTCGTCGTCGTCGTCGTCGTCGTCGTCATCGTAGTAGGGGTGCTGGTAACGTTGGTAGTAGTAGTAGTAGTAGTAGTAGTAGTAGTAGTAGTACTAGTAGGAGTAGTAGTGGTAGTAGTAGTAGAAGTAGTAGTAGTAGTAGTAGTAGTAGTAGTAGTAGTAGTAGTAGTAGTAGTAGTAGTGGTAGTAGTAGTGGTAGTATTAGTGGTAGTGGTAGTAGTAGTAGTAGTTGTAGTAGTAGTAGTGGTAGCAGTAGTAGTAGTAGTAGTAGTAGTAGTAGTAGTAGTAGTAGTAGTAGTAGTAGTAGTAGAAGTGGTGGTGGTGGTGGTAGTCGTAGTCGTAGTCGTAGTCGTATTAACATTATTCGTTGTAGTAGTAGTAGTAGTAGTAGTAGTAGTAGTAGCAGTAGTAGTAGTAATAGTAATCGTATCGTCGTCGTCGTAGTCGTAGTAGTGGCAGTAGTCGTGGTAGTAGTCGGAGGAGGGGAACCAGAGTGAGTCCAAGATGCACCAATGATGCTGCAATGCGCCCTCGCGTCTCTCGTCCCCAGCCCCCTGCTCACAAGTCCAAGTAATACTCCTCTACAGTGAAAGCACCGCATCCTTTGGTACCCTGTGGGCTTGCCGCTCGCGCGAGAGCCCATCTGCGAAAATGAATTGCCTTGCATCCCTCCAGCGGGTACTACGACATTACCATATGATCATACAGTTCGACGCGATGTCCAGCGATGAATCCGTCTAAGCTTACGCTTCTGGCCGTGAACCTCGATGACGTCTCAAGCGAGAGCCGCATGCTTGATCAGGAGTTGCCCTCTCTCCGTGCAGCTGTTCCAAGAGATCCGGGCGGAGCTCCGAGAAAGGATGTGTATGCCGTTCTTCGCTCCTCTATCCTTGCGCCACCGTCGTTCTTCGTTCCTCTATCCTTGCGCCACAGTCGTGGGGCGTGAAGTTTTCTTGCGTCACAGTCGTGATGCGGTTTTCTTCTCTCGCTTCCGACGCGGTGCCAATCATGCATTCGTCGGCCCGCGCGCCTTGCCAGAGGCAGCGGCCACGAGCAGCAGTACAGTGCAATGCGTTGCCTCGCCCACGCGCCATTGAGCGTATGGCCTCTTGACCCGATTCCTGCGTCCTCCTCTGGGGCCCTTTTCCTTTCCCCCTTCCTGCCGCCGCGCAGGCCCCGCAGGCGACGGGCGCTCGGACCCCCACGTCTCCCTCCCTTCCCTCCCTCCTGTCCAGAGGCTCCCCTCCCCGGGCTGCCCCTCCGCCCTGCTGGCGGTGCTTGCGGGACAGCGCGCGGGCGCACAGCGCGGTGGCGCATCGGAAGCCATGATTTCCGGGGTCGGGGCATGTCCACTGCCGTGCCATGTCTGTCCACCACTTATTGGGGGCATGGCGGCCCACACGCAGCGCATATACACACATATGTATATATATATATATATATTTATATGTATATGTATATGTTCTTCAACACCTGCCGCCCGGAGAATCGGCAACAATATTATACACTACACGTTGTCCTGTGTCGTTTCTGCTAAGTCCCATGGGACAGGGCCCAGGCACCTTAGTGTATATACGCGCGGCTCCCAATGACCACGCCGCTTTCTAACCGGGTTCCTCGCCCAGGAGCTGTAATAGGCTAGCGGCCGCGCCCACAGGAACATCGAAGGATACTAACTACACAAGCACGCACTTTCGGAGGTCCACGCAGATTGCTTGGATCTGCGCTGGGCCCCCCTGGCGCGCTCTGCGCGCCATGGCTGAGGGGGGCCAAGAAATCTTCGCGGACCTCTGACACTGCATGTTTGTGTAACTGGTTCTCTTTTACAAGAGCTAGTTTTCCAGGCTCACCGAGATCTTCTAGGCCTCCCAGATGAGGCCGAGTAGACGGGGTCGGAGGATCGCGCCGCATCGCCGATGCATCGGCGATGCGGCTCGATGTGGAGCCCGATTTCCTTCACGTCGACGTCGCCGATGCATCGCCCACGTCGACGATGCATCGCGGATGCATCGCCGATGCACCGCCGATGCATCGCTGATGTATCGGCGATGCGGCTCGATCCCCCGACCCCATCTGCTCTCCGACCTTATCTGGGAGGCCTCTAGATACACTGCCAAAAAACTCGAGTGAGGCCGAGAGGACGACCCAAGCAGGACTCTTTCGGGATCCGCGGTGGCGCGGATCAGATGCCAGGATCCACACAAGGGAAGGAAGGCCGGCGGCGCGGGGCCAGAAGCCACAGCCGACGGTCGTCACCGCCGTTCGTTTCGGTCGGTTGCGCTCGCTCGCATGGTTGACGATGCGCTTGCGCATGCTTGACCTGATTATCAGGGGAACGAACAATGACATAAACATAACAACTCGGAGGTCCGTGCGGATTCCTCGGATCGGCGCTAGACCCCCTGCCGGCGCCTCCGGCGCCGCCCCTGGCGCGCGGAGCGCGTCAGGGACGGGGGTCCAGCGCGGATCCAAGCCATCCGCGCGGACCTCCGAGTTTTTAGGTTTGTGTAATTTTTCGTTCCCTTTTTTCTGTGACTGTCATGTTGGTTAATCAGTTGTTGTTGGTGCTCGCGGTGGACTGACACTGTCCTCACCATCATCGGATGGCCGGCGGCCCATCCCGCCACCGTTCTTGGATTGTGTGTCAGAGTCCTCGGGGATGCTTCTTGGGGTCTCTTCGGATCCCTCTCGTGGGCCTCCTGAGGGCAGCTTTGGGGGCCTCTTGGGGGCCTCTTGGGGGCTTCCTCGGGGCCTCTGCGGGGGCCCCTTGGGTGGAGCCGAGGGCTCGAAATGTCCGTTCGGGTCCTGACCGTCCAGGGGCCCCCTCTTCGAGCCGTCTTGGGGGCCCCTTGGGCCGTCTTGGAGAGGTTGAGGAGGAGGAGGAGGAGGAAGAAGAGGAAGAGGAGGGGGAGGCGGCGGGAGGAGGAGGAGGAGGAGGAGGAGGAGGAGGAGATGGAGGAGGAGGAGGAGGAGGAGGAGGAGGAGGAGGAGGAGGAGGAGGAGGAGGAGGAGGAAGAGGAGGCCTCTTGGGCCGTTTCCGGGCGCTCTGGGGCGGTCTCGCAGGGCTCGTTCCGATTCCCCCGATTCGATTCGGTTTGATTTCGGTGGCTTCCGGTTCCGATGCGATTCGGCTTCGGATTCCGATTTGGGTTCCGATTCTACCGATTTCCGCCGATTATATTTCCCGACTCGGCTGCCTACTCGATTGCCGATTCGACTTATCGATTCGATTCTGTGCTCTCCTGATCTTGGGGCCCGCTTGGAGACCTCTTGGGGCGATCTTGGGGGCTTCTTGAGCCGTCTTGGAGCGGCGGTAAGCCGAAGATGTGATAACACCACATGTTTTAAACGACCAAAGGGAAGTGTCAATGATTTGTGCTTCTTGGGGCCCTCCTGTGAAGCCTTTTGTAGGCTTCTTGCGGGCATCTTGTGCCGTTTTGAGACCGTCCTGGGCGTCTTGGACCGATCGTGCGGCAACTCGGAGCCCTTGGTGGCCTCTTTGGGCCCTTCGGGCCTGTCTTGGGACCATCTTGGGGCTCAATCGTCAGAGGTTGATAGACCTTCTGCCCTGACACGTCGATCAGTGAATTGGCCGGTTCCGGTTCGCGAGAGGGCGTCGCGGCCGTCATTTTTGCGGGTCCAGGCCCGTTGGTTGTTGCCCGAGGCCGTTTTCTTTACGGGGAGGTTTGCTCGGGGCCCTTTGGGCTTTGTCGGGCGTGTCCCCCTGCAGGGGGATTTTCGACGAAAAATAAAAAGTACCCCAAAAATATTTCAAAACGGTCAAGCAATACTCAAAACATAGTCCCCCGACTATTTTTGGATAATTTCTTGATTATTTTGGGGTATTTCTTAGTTTTTCGTCGAAAATCCCCCTGTAGGGGGACAGGCCCGACTTGACCTTTGGGCCTGCCTTGGGACCCTCCTGGGGCCGAACAAGCCATGCTTGAAGACGCCCAAGGGGGGGCACGCCAGGGCCTCCAGGGGCCACGTGCGCGCACCCCGAAGACTGGGCAGTTTTGGGTCCGGGCTTCACACAGGTACAGCTTACGTCCACCTTCCTGGGACGGGATGGCGTGCTGCAGCAGCAATGGCGTGTACGTGGTCTGCCGTCCCCCCTCGTCCTTCACCCTCCCCTGGAGTTCCCAGCGGCCTCCGTGGTCCAGAGAGCTCCTGAGCACCCGACAGCCCTTGCTCCTCGAGCCTCGAGATTCTCGATTTGTCCTCCACAGTAGTACTGCCCAGCCGCAGCTGGTGGCACTTCCTGCCTCGCTGCTGCGTCCTGCTAGGCTTAAGTCGAGCCTGTCCCTCTACAGGAGGACGATTCAAAAATAGTAAGAAATAGTCTGGGGACTATTTTTGGAGTCTTGTTGATCATTCTGGAGTTTTTTTTTTAGATTTCGTCGAAATCCCCCTGTAGGGGGACACGCCCGACTTAAGACTAGGCCAAGGACCTGATGACACTCCAGCTCGTGCCTCAAGGGCGCACGGTGGCGGATAGTTGCGCCAGGGTCGTTCATTGCTGACGCTGCTGCGGTCCGGGCCCCCGCGGTCAAGGTTGAACACCGCCAGTCGCACAGACTAGGCCGATGTCGAACAACTTCCTCAGCCGCGATCGCTCACGACTGAGCGATCCACGTGGTGTCAGCGCGCAAGTCCAAAGGACACGAACCGGCCGTGTTGTACCATCGTTTGTCTGGCATTCCCCCTCAAGGTCCCTGCCGATCCGATCCATCCGACTGGATATCGATCTCGGCCAGCCCGGTCCGTTTCGATTCCGGTGTTCCGACATCCGGTTCGGCCCGAATGCCTGCCTGGCGCCGTGCCGGTGTGGCCCGATCCGATCCCGACGCAGGTGCCGATTCGGTCCGACGCCCTTGCTCGAGCGTCGCCCGCGCCTGCCCCCTCCCTCTCACTGGCTGCCGGCTCTCAGGAGGCAGGGGCAGTCCTTCCACCTCTCGCTCATCGGCAGCCTCGAGGCCTACCACGAGAGCATCGAGGCGCCCCCCGCCCCCGCCCCTCCCTGCTGCAGCGGCCGGTGCGCCCTCCCGTGCTCCCCCGGAGGCGGAACGGGCTCCACGCGAGGCTCTTCCCCTCCAGTCGGGGCCCAGATCGTTGTGGGTGTTTACCAGCCTGGAACATATCCCTATCCCTATGCTGGGCATCTCCTCGTCACGATGCCAATCTGAGGGATTCCCTCATTTTTTGAGGGCGAATCCCTAAGATTGTCATCGCCTTTTGGCGTGTCGATCTCAGGGGTAGGGGTAAGTTCGAGGCTGGTAAGGTGTGGCCTCCTGCCGCGGCCGATGCTCGGAGGAGGGCAGCGGTGCAGGTCCGCCAGACCCCTGGCCCTCCCCCCTCCCGGGAGCGGGGCGAGCCGATCACAGGGGCGAGGGGGCAGGAGGAGGCAGCGGCTGGACCCGCGTCGGGGGCTGGGGGGGGGGAGGGCGACCAAAGGGAAGCGGAGTCGCCCGAGAGGGAAAGAGCAGCGTCGCTTTCGCCTCGCGTCGTGCGCGCGGGCGGGGCGCAGCGGCGCGAGCTCCTGCACTCGGCCAGGCGCAGGTCGCGCCAGGAGGAGTCGGGCACCCGGGCACCCGTGCGCCAAGGGGGGGGGGGGGGGCGGGGGTTGCCCAGCAGTGGCGCCGAAGGCGTTCCTGCTGAATACTCCGAGGGGTGTCCTCGTGATTGTTCCGTGGCTACCCCAAGTTTGTCTCTTGGCAGTCTCGTGGTCGTCCCGCGGCTGTCTCTTGGCAGTCTCGTGGTTGTCCTGCGGTTGTTCGGGGGGGTGCGCGGTGGTCCTCCCTTGGCTGCCCTTGTGATCGTCTCGCGATTGTCCTGTAATTGTCCCGTGGTTGTCCCGCCTTGGTTCCGTAGCTTTCCCGTGGTTGTTTCGCGGTTGCTCCTCCGTTGTCCGCGGCGACCAACACATCTTTTGAACCCGCCACTTCTTCAGGATTCCCAGTCGAACATGAGACATAATCCGTATTGGTCCTCATCTGGCCTTCGTTTTTTCTGTGGGGGGGAGTGTGACGAGGCGGAAGGTAATTAGGGGGAGATGCGATGGAGGATTGGGGCAGGAGGTATGGGGTGAGGAGAGGGAGAGGAGAATGGGGAGGGGGCGAGGCGGGAGAAGGGGTGGTGAGAGTGAGGAGTCAGGGACGAGGGGAAGGAGAAAGATAAGGAGTGGTGGAGGAGCAGCAGCATCAGCAGCAGCAGCAGCAGCAGCTTGAGGAGCGGAATCGGAAGAAGAGAGGGGACGGACCCTGACATCCGACCTCACGAAAGATTGCAACATCGTAAGAGAGCTCGACCGGGTCCGGGACCCATTTTTCCTGGTGTATTTTTTTTTAGCCCGGTCGATCCGTGAGGGTCCCGGGGCCCGACACGAGGCAAAGCGCAAAGCCACCCGTTGTGAAACAGATGCGACTCTGGGATCTTCGGGGGCGGCCAAGAGGGGAGTGATGACTAGGGGGGTGGATATCATGGCAGGAGCCATGATATCTCCTCAGATTTCATGGCCCCTCGTCTTACTTCATTACGTCCCCGGCCCCCCCTCTGGGCCGCGCACATGCCGCGGGCCATGATTTGCGCCCCCCCTCTTGGACGCCCCCCTCTTGGCCGCCCGTGAGAAAAACAGCATATCCAGATCCTGCGGCCTCGCGGGCCGGGCCCCCGCGGATCTGGGGCGCCGTTTCGCGGAGGCCCCGCGCGGCACCTACCCGTGCGAACGCGTGTCCGCAGGATGACGCCCCGGAATTCAGGCCGCGAGGGGGTGGGGTATGGATCAAGCACTGGCGAAGCGCCCTGGCGTGCCTATGGGCCTACCAGTGTTCTAAGAACCTTTTGTGGTTTTCACGAGATGTTCTTAGAACATCTCTGGCTGGGACTGCCTCGTTTTAACGCATCGGGCTTATGCTCTAAGAACCGTGTTCTTGCTCTTAGAACATTCTTGGGGTCTAAGAGCATTTCGTGATTGGCCTATAGGAATGGCGGGACGGTCGGTCCCTGCTCAAATGGCTGCGTTCGCGTCGCCACCTGTGAGCCGCGACGACGACGACGACTCGGCAGCGAGCGAGGGGGGGAAGCGAGAAGGAGGAGGCCTCCTTAGCAGGTTGGGAAGTCCCCTGGCCTTCTGTCTAGGCCTCCCAGATGGGGTCGGAGCAGACGGGGTCGGAGGATCGCGCCGCATCTCCGTTTTCTCCACGCGGACGTCGCCGATGCGTCGCCGACTTCGCCAGTGCATGGCCTGTGCATCGGCGATGCATCGCCGATGTATCGGCGATGCGTCGCGATCCTCCGACCCCGTCTGCTCCGACCCCATCTATGAGGCCTCTCTTCCGAGAAGTTCACTGAGCCTTCCCCGAAGACACGGAGCACTTCTCGCAAGGCCCGAGGGCCTCGGAGCAGGTCCGCCGCCTTCTGAGAAGTGGCCTTCTCCTTCTCCCTTCCCCCCCTCTAGGGGGCCCGGATTCGACCCTGCCAGATCGAGGGTACCCTCGTGTCCTGTGTCTTGCGACCCATGCCTCCCGCATTCCTGTGGCCACGTGGCCCCCGGAAGGGTCTCGTGCCCTCTCGCGTGTCCTGCCCAATAGAAAGGCCGACTGCACCCTCCCCGCCACGCGACGACGGTGCCCGTGAGCCCCCCCCCCCCCCTGGCGCGGCGAGGTCCTCTTCCCGGAGGAGGGGCACCACCACGGCGGCCACGGGCACGAGGGCCCCGCCGCGCCGCGCGCGGGGGCGGCTGGCCGTGCGCCCCCTCTGCTCTCTCCGGGGTCGCCTCGCGGGGGGGGGGGGGCGCCTCGCCGAGGTCGGAGCGCAAAGGCGTGTGGGCAGGGCGAGCAGTGGGGAGGGGGCACGTTGCCAAATCGTTTCCAGATGCCTGAAGCATGTGTTGAGCGTGCTCTTAAACATGTAAGCACATGTGCGAAACGTGTTTAGGACATCTTCCCTACATGTTTAACACAGTTTCAATTCAAGGAGAGGACCGTTAGGGTGTCCGTTGTCGTGGCATCCACAAGCAACGACGGCAGCACTCGGCGGTGGCATCCGAACCCTGCCCTCGCCGAACCACGATTGAGGTCGGAGGAGGCAACAGGTACCCATATGTACCGCTACCCTCGCCTCGTTTTTGTTCCATGTTTGGGCCTTGCGAGTGTGGCCCTCGTCGCCACCGCTGGATCCGCCTCGAAGTTCTGGTCAGAAAGCACCCAAGGAGAGGTCTGGGGAGCAGTGGTATCAGTACCGTTTGGTCTCCCCAGGAGGTGGCAATTTTGAGGTTCGAGTCCATCCGGGCAGGGCCCTCCACAGGAGGAAGAGTCGAGACAGTCCAAAACAACAGGGTGTGGACGATCCGTCGGTTTTTGTGGGGCTATTTGTGGGGCATTTCGTATTATCACCACCCACCCAACCACCCCAACCCAACCCGAAGGACTCAATTTGCCCTCCATTTCCAGTGGGAGGGGGGGTCCGAGAACATCGAAAAAACACATATGGAGCCCATGCCCCCCCCAACCCGAAATTCGCGTTGTCGGGTTGGGTTGGGGTGGTCTGGTAGGTAGTCATATTACAATCTTCGATGTCTCGTCCAGAGTCCGCCCGTGGGAGGACGTGCCCGACCCGAGCTTGGAGGCTGGCGGTCCTTCGGGGACCTCTTCGTGGGCTCTCCTCGGCAGGTCTCCGGCCCTCCCGGGGGATGCGTCTGTAATAGAGGCTGCGCTTCTCGCGCGGGGGCTCTTAAGGGGGGGGGGCTGCCTCGTCCCCCAGCACGGCTGCCGGGGAGCCGACGTGTGTGACCCGAAACGCACGGGTGGATGGGCGGTGAAACCTGAACCCTACCCTCGGGCCGAACGAAAGGGGGATAGGGAAGGCGGGGGTTACGAAGTCTGCTGCATGCAGCTGGTTTCGGCCCCGCCGCCGGGTTCATTCCTCGATACATGGGCGCCTCCCGGCGCCTGGAGGCGCCGGGAAAATCAGCTACGCAAGCTGATTTTCCCCCCCCCCTTTGCTATCCCCCCTTTCGCCCGGCCCGGTACCCTTAAGTCGGGCATGTCCATCTACACGAGGAATATTCAGAAATGATAGCAAAAATAGTACGGGGACGATTTTCCTAGTATGTTTGACCATTTTCGAGCATTTGGAAGCGTGGTTGTTTTCCGTCAACGATGTCAAAGGGAGGACCCTAAGGACGACGCGAGACCTTGATACACCAAATCTCAGTTGAGATCCAGTGGTGATGCAGTGCATGGTGGGGCTGGGGAACCATATCTCTCCCCAGCGCAGTGCTTCATTATAGACACAGCTGTGGCGCAGGGTATTGCGCACTGATACCCGGAGGTTCGGTAGCAAATCCAAATCGTAGGCGCCTGGTAGACTCTTTCACTTCTGTCTTTAGCGTCGACTAGCGTCGATTAGCGTCTGGGAGTCGATGAGATAGCGCCGATTTAGCGTCGGTTCGCGTCGATTAGTGGCGCTCCGCAAGAGCCAACAATATGGTATCGGAGCCTCCCATGAGTTGCCACCGCCCACCAAACCTCCCCAACCCAACCCGAACGCCCCGATGAGCCCTCCATTTCCAGTGTGGGGGAGTCGGGGAACACTGAACAACATACATGTGAAGCCTGTACCCGCCCCCCGACCCGAAATTCGGGTCTTCGGGCTGGGTTGGGGTGGTCTGGTAGACAGTCAGAGCTGCCACCGAACCCGAAGGGTCTCCCATGGGGCAGTCGTCGGCTACCACCTGCAGACAGCAATCCTGGAAGACGGCTGGCCGCAAGGTCCAAGCAGCATCTCAGGCGTCCTCCGCCACGCACGGGGCGGGAAAGGCAAGCCGAAAGGCGGCAAGGGCAAGGGGGACAACGACTCCAGGATCGACCGCAGCCGCTCCCCAGCGCCCGGCGCAGGGTCGAGCGAGGCTGGAGACCGACCAGTAGGGGCCACATGCGAACCCTACCCCTACCCCCCACGACTTCTGAGAGGGAGGGTGGGGGGTAGGGGTAGGGCTCGCATGTGGCCCCCCAACCACCAGTAAACACCACCGGCTGGGAGCAGCGCGCTGTGCCGGTCCGAGCTGGTCGGAGCGCGACGGGGGCACGTGGCGGCCCGCGGCGGGAGGCAGGCCGGGGCGCGCATCACGAGGGCGTCGCTCCCCGGGGGACCCCACCGTGGCCACGGGAAGCCGCCAGGAGGGCCCCACCTCGGTCGCCCGGAGGAGGAGGAGGAGGAGGAGGAGGAGAAGGAGGAGGAGGAGGAGGAGGAGGAGGAGGCGGAGGAGGCAGCGGAGGAGGGGGAGGCAGCGGAGGCGGAGGGGGATGAAGAGGAGGCGGAGATGGAGGAGGAGGAGGAGGAGGAGGAGGAGGAGGAGGAGGAGGAGGAGCAGGAGCAGGAGCAGGAGCAGGAGGAGGAGGAGGGGCGCGACGGTACATCGCGCCTGGACTGGAGAGCTGCCCTTCTCCAGGGGGGTCGGCGCGGGGGCGCGAGGATAATCGCGCGCGTCGCGCATCATCGCGGGACGCGCTGCGCGAAGTTGGGCGGCCTGGAGGCACGCTGCCTCGACGGGCCTTCCCTCCGACTCCAGGTCCCGCCTCCTCCACGAACACACAGCCTCGCGCCACGCTCCTCGAGCCGCGATCCCCGAACCTCGATCCTCGGAGCCTCGACGGCCTCGCGCCTCGATCTGCGATCCCCGAACCTCGATCCTGGGAGCCTCGAGGCGCGAGGCCGAGCGAGCCACCGAACCCTCGGGCACGCGAGCCAGCCGTGCAGACCTCGCCACCCTCCCGCGCGCCTCGAGGCCAAAAGCCTCCCTTTTCATTCTTTCGGTGGGGGCCCCACTCCGGCTCGCCTGCCCTTCTCTCCAACACCCCCACACACACATTCGGCTCCCCGCTCTCTTCTCTGTCGTCTGGCAGCTCTCCCCCCTCTCCCCCGTCCCCTCCCTTCCCTGCAGACATCGTCCATCCCCTCTTCTCCTTGCGAGGAGGAGGAGGAGGAGGAGGAGGAGGAGGAGGAGGAGGAGGAGGAGGAGGAGGAGGCGGTGGAAGGCGAAGGCAGAGGGAAGGCCGGATGAGCAAGCTCGAGGCCAGAAGCCCTCCCCCCCCGAGGCCACGAGGGCCACGGCGAGTGCGCGGGCCATGGCGGCGGCCACGGCGGCGGCCACAGCGGCGGCCACGGCGGCGGCCATGGCCACGGCGGCGCCGAGCACGGCGGCAACCGCGAAGGCGCCCGGCCGCCCGTCGGCGGCGGCCTGCGGCGACAGCGGCGACGGCGTGGGCCCTCAGCGGTGGTCTCGGCCCCGAGCCTCGAGCCTCGAGATTTGCGCCTCGCGCCTCGAGCCTCGAAGCCTCGACGAAGCCTCGAAGCCTGGAGCCTAGAGAGGGAAGAGCCTCGAGGGCCCTCGGCGGCGGCCTGCGGTGGCGGCGGCGACGGCGAGGAGCTCGAGCAGGGTCTACTTCGACCCAGTCGATCCGATTTGATATCGACGTGTTCGAGCGTTCTCGGCGTTTCTTGGAGGCTTTCTGGTCTCGCGGTGCGCTCCATCAGCTGCGCCTCGCCGAGGGCGTTCTGGGGGTGCCGGCATCGCCCCGAACGGCCGCCGGAGAGCCGAGTTTGATCAAGGAGCAACGGGCAAGGTTCAATCTGATCCGATCGATCCGACTCGACACCGATGTCGGCCAGCCCGCTCCGATTCGACGCCGATGTTCGGGCGATCCGATGCGTCCCGGTGCCTGCACGGCTCAGTCGTGGATCTTGGCGCGGCCGATCCGATTCGAGTCCGACCCCGTGCCCTTGCAGCTCGATCCGACGCGCCCTCCGATTCGAGCCGATTTTTCCAGATTCGATGCTGGCTTGATGCTGGCCTCCGTCGGGGGGGGGGGGCGCATAGCATGGACACGCCGCCATTGGGGGCCCGTCAGCGTGGTACTCCTTCGTGTTTGTTCTCAGGCACTGTGCTCCAATCGGAGGTGGATAGGCCTCCTGCCCTGACACATCGATTGGCGAATTGGCCGTTTTCGGTTCGCGAGGGGGCGTCGCGGCCGTCATTTTTGCGGGTCCAGGTCCGTCGGTTTCGGCCCCGGGCCGTTTTCACTGAGGGGAGGTTTACTAAAGGGAGGCTTGTCCACCGCCGACCACGGCTCCCCTGATCAGCCCCAGGCTCTGGGGGGCTGTCGTCGGTTCTGGGGGCCGCCAGGCAGTGACCTGGGGTGATGAAGCGCCCTGGAGAAGGGGTCGAGGTTTCCGAGATGAGGACAGCACGTTCCGGGGTCTTCTCTCCAGCCTTTCCGGATCTCGTCCTCGGGCGTTCTCGTCGCCACGGCCGGAGCCGCCCCGTGATGCTGGCTGGAGCGGTCCGCAGAGTTTGGGCCAGGGTCGGCGTCTCACCCGCGGAGGCGCCGCAGCAGAAGCCGAGTCGGACTGGTGTTCTTTCCCCAGTTCTGCCTCAGGACCATCGGAAAACGACTCGCGACGAGGTCCGTTCCCTGGGAAGTCGTGGGCGAACAGCATATCCGTATCTGCGCCCTTGCGAGCGGGGCCTCTGGGCCGCGACCCCGCGGACACGGGACATGTTTTCGCGGATGCCCCGCGCGGAACGTATCCGTGCAACCGCGTACTTGCGGGATCGATCCCCGGAATCCAGACCGCGAGGGCGCGGATGTGGATATGTTCGCCGCTCGTGAGGGAGGGCTCGGGAGCTACTCCTGGACCACGTCGTGTCGCGAGAAGAGTCGCCACGTTGGAGGATTGGGCTCGCAGCCTGGGCGACGGCGGCGGATCAGGTGAGCGGCCACGGTCGCTTCGCGATGACCGCCAGTCTGCCCCTTCCTTCGAGGGACGTTTTGCGCGTTCATTGGTTCGCTCCCATCTCCCTCTGATAGTCGAGTGGTGGGTTCATTCAGTATCCTTACACTCTTAGGGATCGGTCTTCAGGGACCTTGGCAGGCGTTGGATATGGACATGTTCGGGCCCTGGGTGGGGGCCATCCATATCCACCGCCCGCCGAAGTCCCCGAAGACCGAACCCCTCGGGTGGTGGTGCGATTGATAAACCCCCGCCTCGCACGATGTTCATTCGCTGGCAACTGGCACCCATCCCGTATGTACCGGATCCCCAGATCTGTCGGGGTGGCTTTTTGGGAGGGCTATGGGCGCGTGTCGTTACACGGGGGTCCCCTCTCGAACGGCGCCCATCCTCAGGGTCCGATAGCGAGTCCTCGAATAGGGAGGCGCGGGTCCTAGTTGATCCTTGCCCTGCCGTCGATTGAGCCTATTATTCCAGAGGAGGAGGGGGTCAGTGACCCGAGCGCGCGCGTTCCAGGCTCCCCCGATGAATGCATCCTTTTTGCAGACCGTGGCTTCGCAGTGGTCTGGACCCCTGCCCCGATGACCAGTTGTTCCTCCCGAGCCGTGTCGTTGACGGTCACGGGGCCGGCCGCGGGCCCCGGGGGCCGCGAGCTGCCAGGAGCAGTGCGGGGGTCGTCCGAGCTTGCCAAGAGGGGGGGCGGTGTCGGGGACGCGCGCGCTCGCGGCTGCCGCAGGGGTGCGTCTTGGGGCGAGCCGTGGAGGCGAGCGGTCGTGGGGGGGGTCCCTCAGTGAGCATCCCCCTCCAGGGAGCCGAGGTGGGCACACGACCTAAGGACACATCGGTGGTGCTTGTCTTCTCGCGGATGCCCACCTGGGCCCTGCAACGACCCGCCGATCGTCCAGACCCAGCGGAAGGGGGGTCAAGACACCCTCCCCGCCCCCATGCTGTCTCGCTCACTCCCACCCGCCCTCCCAACACATGCGTAGCACCCAGGCCTCAGCATGTTCAGCGGCCGTCCATGGATGGGCAGCAACTGGAAACTAATACGCGCGATGTGGCGAGGTGCGCCACGCGTGCCAGGCGCTCCAGGTGCGCCAGGCACTCCTGAGGCCCAAGCGTGCCAGGCACGTCTCGTGCGCCTGATGCGCCACGTGCTCCACGTGCGCCATGTGTGGCGCATGTTACAGCCGCGCCAGGTGCGCCACGTCTGGGGCACGCGCAGAGTGTGCCAGGTGCTCCCGCGCACGTGCAGCACACATCGGGAAACATGTCGGCCCCCGCCATCCTTGTCGAAAGCCGGTGTACAAATTCGGCGGGGAGGCCATCATGGTGTCTGGTGGGCCTGCACACAGCAGGCAATATGCCACCACCCCCGCGGTCCTTCAAACACCAATGGACAGTGATCACGGGGTGGCCGCGCATGATCCAGATTTTACCGCGAAGCGCATGTTGTATTGCTTTTTGGAATGGACGGTGGCTTTGCGCAAACAGGCACTATGAGGACACCCACTCCGTCCCCGTCAAAAACAAAACAAGTACTCCTTGGGCCCACGTGTTTGACCCAGGATCTTGCCCCAAAGTTTTGCTTCGCATGGTTTGTTGACAGCGATGGCGGGCAGGGGTTCTCATTGGTCCTGGTTGGCTGCCGGTCGCCTGGAGGAGCGGGGCTTCTTGACAGGGAACAGTGATGCAGTGATCAAGCTATCCCAAGCCGCAAGCCGCGTCGCTCACTCCCGCCCGCCCTTCCCACATAGAGACAGCACCCGAGCCTCCCCCGAACCCAGCGAGTTCACGAGGTGTGGCCCCCTCTCCAAAGGGAAGGAAGGGAAGGAGGAAAATGCCCTGAAGCATCTACACCCCAAAGGGCTGATGTGAGTTGCCCTTGCCCTGCCTTCGCCCGAGCCGGTCCTCCCAGGGGCGGGGCGGTGTCGGGGACGCGCGCGCGCGCGGGCGGTTGCCGCAGGCAGCCACCACGGATAGCGCCACCGTCTGACGCCCGCCGCGGCCCCGCCCACCGCCAGCATGCGTCCTTGGAGCGCGAGCTGTGGCGCCTCGTGGGGCCTCGTGTCTCTGTGCCCCGATCTTCTTCTTCCTCCTCCTCCGCCTCCTCCATTTCCGTAGCCATTTTGGCTCAAGACTATGGCTTTGGGGGATTCCAGCCCCAAGGCATGCAGGGATACCGCTAGTCCGCGGCAGGCAAGGCAGTTCTGCCTGGCATCCCTTTCTCTTTGCCTTCACGGGGGGATTTGGGCTCCCCCACTCAGCCCCGCGCGTGAGTTCGAACACAGTCATTTTGTCTGTCGGATGTCGACGCATGGCGGTGCTGGAGTCATCAAAGCTGGCAAGTCGAAGGTTGTCACTCCTCGTGGGCAACGTGCTGCTCGTGCTGCTCGTGGTGCGGCTGTTCCGACTCCCGCTGCTCCTCCTGCCGTCACAGACATGGCTGCCGAGGACAACGACGGGGAGGTCTCCATGGGTGACTTCTCTGAGGAACACATCCGCGCGCTCTGCACCAGCATTGTGTCCGACCAGCTCCAAGCGCTCAAGAGGGATGTTGACAATGTGGTCGCCCAGTCAGTCACGGAGGCCATTTCTAGCGAATCTGAGACCATTGCTAACTCCTTCAAGTCTCACTTTGAGCAGTGCTTCCAGAAGTGCCAGGCCGAGATGGCGTCGCTCCCGAAGCGACTGGACAAGCATATTCAAGATATTCTCAACCCTCGGCTGGAAGAGCTACGTCGTGAGTTCACGCAAAAGTGCGATTCCCTCTCGGCCATCATCGCGTCTGTGGACACGAAAGTTGAGGCTCATTCAGGAGATATCGTCGCACTTAAGGAGAGTGTCAAGCTGGTACAGGAGGCCCTGGTCACGGCCAACCAGAAGCCCAACAAGCCCATCGTCTTCTCGCCGTCGTTCGAGCGCGAGGTGGACTACTCGATCATCAAGGTCAACGCGGGCAAGCTCGTGTCGAAGGTCAAGGTGCAGGAGGCACTGCAGCCGTGGCTCGCAGATGCTGGATTCGCTGACGACTGGTGGTCAATCGAGTGCCGTGATGTCCTCTCACGGGTGTTCGTCATTCGTGTCGCTGGAGGTGAAAGCCTTGCGGCTCGTCGTGTTGCCAAAGCTCTCTCTATGCTCCGTGTGGACGGTCAGTGGCGCCAGTTTGAAGTGGATACGCAACGTGGAGAGGGAGTCACCAAGTTACATGTCAGCGCGGACAAGAACCCGCGCACCATCAAGCTCGAGATCACGGGACGCAAGGTCAGGTCGCTCCTGGCCCCTGCTGTGGGTGCTGCCCACCGCCTCTTCCTCGACCGTGAGAGGGGGTGGCTGTCTGTCGGGTGGGGCCCGCTTCTCAAGCTGGAAGTGTTTGAGGGCCGTACTCCGACGAAAGTACACTTGGAACGCCGCCACGCTCACCAAACTCGGCCTCGACAAGCAGGTGCTGGCCACCGCGATCAGCAGCGCTATTGGGCCAGACGCTGAGCCGCAGTGGTGTCTTTAGCAGATTCGCACGCCTCTTTGCAGTCTGCCCTCTGCCCTCTCTTCAGGGTGCAGAGGCGCTGGGTGGTCTTCGCTTTAACTCTTGGAATTGTAGAGCTTTGCTCCAGTATGAAGGTAAGCATGCTTCTGCGAAGTTGGGTTATTTGAAGCGTCTGTGTTTAGGCTCTTCGATTTCAGCAATTCAGGAAGTTAGGCAGGATAAAATCCAGCTAACCAGCTTTTTTCCAGAAGGCTCTCCCTGGTGCTCTGATCTTCTCGAGCTTCTGCGGGGGGGATCCCGCTGGGCGCATCCGAGGCGGGGTAGCCACGGTCGTGCCTGGTGTGATCAAAAATGGTCAGCCCTCTCCACCTGATGGTGTCACCGCCACCCCCCTCTGGTATGTTGCTGGCCGAGTTTTGAGAGTTTGCTTTTCGGATGGGGATGCCACTCTCGTCCATTGGAATGTCCATAGTCATGCTTTAACTGTTATGGAATTCGGGATGTGTGCGGTGCGATTACCCAGGATCGTGTGTTGTCTGAGGCCTCCCCTGAAAGCTTCGTAGTCATAGTGCACGGTGATTTCAACTTTGCCGCTGAGGGAAACGTTGAGCTTCTCGCAGCCATCTGAGGCCCAGCGGGTCCCCAGGCCCTTGCGCGCCCGTGCCCCTGTCTGGTCTCCCACACTCGATTCCCTTGTAGAGATTACATCCGCGGCTGCGACGCATTGCGATGCCAAGGCCGATGCTGTCGCCGCCATTGACCGATTTTGGTGCTCGTGGCCTGGCTGGGCTCTGACGCAGATGGCGATCGCGCCCAAAGTGGAGGGAACGCCAGAGGTTTTGTCGAGGCAGAAGATCAGTGACCACGCCTCTCATGTTGTCCTGTTTCGTCAGCGTCGCCCCCCTGCAGATGAGGAGCGACCCATCCCCAAGCATATGTATGTCGGCTGAGTTCAAAACGATTCGGAAGAGTTTCCTGGAGGCTGAAAATCCCATCTGGAGAACATGAGCTCCGCCCCGCGACTGGGGAGATACATGTATCTGATGTCAGAGGCCAGCCGTGAGGCGCGTGATCGTATCATGTTCCGCAGGCCGCACGATCCTCGCACTCTCTTGCTGGTGGCTCGTGCCATATCGCGCGCAGATGTCCAAGCTGCGGAGCGGCTTCTGGGATCTCACTCTGCTAAGGCTGACTTTCTTGAAGTCCATGGCTCTCGAGTTGAGCTTGTGCGCGCGGCATCCTTTATGCAGTGATGCAATCTGCAGCAGCTCAATGCCGCGAAAGTAAATCGAGAACAACTTCGTATCCGTCTCGAGGCTCAGGTTGGAGGAAGTGATCTGGATGGAGGAGGGGTTTCAGCTTCTCGGATCCGTCGTCGCTTACTGGGCCTGGAACGTCGTGCTCGTATCTGGGCCCCTTTCGCTCGTCGGCTCGTTCTTCGGGATGTCCTGGTCGACGGAGTCCCTGTGGGTGGTCCTGAAGCTTCGTGGACCATTGGGGCAACACCTTCGCTCGCAAGTCGTGGCCGCGTGCGGCCGCTGAAAAATGCGCGGAGAAGTTTGTCCAGCCCGTTGACTTTTCGTCGTGTGCTCCCCCTAGCCTCTATGTGATGAAGAAGGTCCTGGCGCGGGCCACGGATTCTGCTCCTGGATGTGACCGCTTGTGCTATGCTGCGTGGGCAGCGAACCCGTGCGGAGTGGAACTCCTGCACGATGTGATGCTCGACATGTTCTGCGGTTTCGCCCCCTTTGCAAGCGAGAGCAAGACGCTGCAGGCCTTTTTACCTAAAGGAGAATGCGATGGTGACACACAGGCAGGGGAATGCTCCAGGGATGTCAACGCTGTCAGGGTTCTGGGCCCCAGGAACACGAGCTATAAGATCACCGCCGCCTCGGTTAATTATGCGATACGGAAACCACTGGATGTTTTTGCGCCACCTTCGCAGCGAGGTTTTATGAGAGGCCGCAACTTTGCAATGAATCTTGCTGAAGTTGGTGCTGTTGCCCGAGCATGCTCGTGCCGACCTGAAGCTGATGAAGAATGTCCAATATTAAATGGTCTGGGCTATGGACGCGCCTTCCCTAGTCTGTCTCAGCAGTATCTTTATCTGGTGCTCCAACGTATGGGGTGCCCTGCTGCTCTGCTCATGTTCGTGCATATCCTGTGCACTGCCATCGAGGGGGCCATGTCATGCTGCGGGACACTGGTTTCTGCTTTCTGGATTCGATCTGGGATAATCCAGGGTGGTGCTTTGTCGGGATCGCTTTTCGCTATTGCTCTTACTCCCACTCTTCAGGACTTGTATGTTTCCTTGGAGAAGGGGAAGATGGGGATGAGCAGAGCTTGTGCTGATGACATCGGGGGAGTACTTAAACGGCTTCAGAGTCTGCGGACGCTTGCCAGAATCATGGGAGTTTCGGAGCGGGTCGCACACCTCGCTCTCAAGCCGCCCAAGTGTTTCTCGGCACCTGTCGCCTCTGCCTTTACGCCTGCGCTGCAAGAGAGAGTCGCACAATATCTTAGGCTTTGCCTCCCGCAGTGGACGTCCTTCCAGGTGGCGTCGAAGCTGTTCTACTTGGGCATGTTCGTGGGACCTGGTGCCACTCTTGAGGACTCTTGGAAGGGGCCCTGCAAAAAGTATCCGTCTCGGGCTAAAGCGATCGGCCAGGGTGTGCAAGCTACGTCTGTCTCGGGTGTGCTTTACCAAACGCGTGTTGTGCCTACGTTGAGTTATGTCGCTCAGTATCTCCCTCCACCTCGCCGTCTGTTCGACCTGGAGTTGGGTGCCCTCGCCTCCGCGTTCCGCATTCCGATTGGCACGTTCAGTATTGGTGCCTGGTATTTCTTGCGTGAATGGAATGGACCAAAGGTGAACACACTCTTGTCACTGTGCATGGCCACTCGTGCGCGCATGGCCCTGGATACTGTTCCTGAGTTTCAGCGTGTGCTCCGATGGCTAGACCGGTGTACCAATGATGATGCTGAGAATCGGGACCATTGTCGCCTCACTGTTCTTCCTCGGTCGCGTCGATACCCTGATCACTGGCAGTGTCGTGCATTCGTTGAAGTCCTGGATGATGCGAAAAATGGTACACAGAGTCTTGCTTGTCAACGTGCTGTTGGGGACGCTCGTGCGGCCCAGTCTGCTGTCCCTCGACAAAAAGTGCAGCGCGCTGCTCTGCAGGCTTGCTATTCGCTGCTGCCAGCCTCGACCCTCCCTGACCTGTTCAGAAAGAGGCTGGAGAAATGGTGGCCCTGTCGCTCGCCTGAGATTGATACTGTGAACTTTGAGCCCACGCGGCTGCTCTTGAAAACTGCGCCGCCGTCCCGGGCATGGGCGTGGCTGCGCGCGGCCGCAGGAGGATGGATGAGAACCCATCGGATTCTGAGTGAGCGTGGACAAAGCATGTGTATACTAGGCTGCCATGACTGCCCCGATAGACAACTCCATTATGCGACCTGCCCTCGCCTCGCTTCTGTGATCTCTCTTGTCCTTCTGAATCGTGTTTTGGCCTCAGACCCACTCGCGCGCTGGGGGATAACGCGCTGCGCCATCCAGGTTTTAGAAGAACTATATATAGCTGTACATGTGTATCATACTCTACGTCTGCTCCCTCCTGCGCTCAGCCAGGCCCCGCAAACCCACGTATCCGCGGCCAAGGCAGCGCTCCGAGATCTGAGGCTAACACGCCCAGATCGTGGAGGTGGAGGCGCGTAGGGACGGGACGTCGTCGTCGTCGTCGTACGTTTCGCTCCGCCTCCTCCATTTCTGCCCTCCTCCATCTGCGCAGGCGATTCATTATCGACCTCAAATCCCCGAGATCCGCCCGACAAGTGAGGCCGCGCAGTCAAGGAGGGTCGGACGCACCTCCTGTTGGGTGGACGCCCCCTTCGCATTCCCGAGTTGGGTCCCAAATGTTCGGTCCGTTCGGAAGCCCACGAAGTGAGGGATCGGGGTCGGCATACTCCCCGTTGCCCCATCCTCCTTTCTCCTCCTACCTCCTCCCTCCTCCTCCCTCCTCGCGCTCGGGCTCAGAGTCCTCCAATGAACGCAGCCATTCCCCCCCCCCCCGGTTGCCGCTGGGGGGGTCGGAGTTGCTGTGTCCTGCGCCGCCCCCGTGTGGGGAGGGGAGAAAGAAAAACCTCCTCCCTCCCTCCCTCCCTCCTTCCCTCCCTCTCTCCCTGAGGGAGTCTCCCTGTCTCTCTCTCTCTCTCTCTCTCTCTCTCTCTCTCTCTCTCTCTCTCTCTCTCTCTCCCTCTCTCTTTCCCTCCCTCGCATCTCCATCCTCCCCTGACGTCCTGTCGTTGTGGAACAAGCAGCGTGTTCTGTTTGGTATCGCTCTCGGCTGCCTGGGCCCCCCCGAGCCCCGTGGCGAAGGCAGCACGACGGAGGATGTCTGGGTCTGTGTTTGATTTTCTTCGTCCTCCTCGGGCCTCCCATCTTATTCCCCCGCCCCGCCTCCTCCTCCTCCTCCTCCTCCTCCTCCGCCTCCTCCTCCTCCTCTTCCTCTCCCTTCACCACCTCCTCTCTCTTTCTCGTCCCAGTTTCCTGGGGATCCTTGCGCTTGGTTCTGATTTCGGCCCGGGAGCCCGTGGGCAGGAGGGCCTTGTGCGTCTTCAGGCCAGGGCAGTGGTACGTCTTTGGCCTGCAGTTTCGAGACGCTAAGTCCCGCTAAATCCTCCCCCGTCCGTCCTCCTCCCAGTGCCCCACGTGTGCCAGAGTCGTTCTCCAGCACCCTTCGGCCGTGAGGTAAACGTGGTGGACATGAGCGAGGGGTAAACAAGGACTCAGGGGCAGCTTTGGGGGGGATGAACTCAGGGTGGGCACCTCGGAACGTGCGGTTTCGGTACCGGGTGCCGATCGCCGATCTACGGGCGATGTGTGGCCGATTCCAGCTCGATGTTATCCCCCCCCTGAGCCGGGCCCCCCTCATTTTAGGATGCGGCTCCTGGGAGGTCTGGCTAAGAATCGGGGCTGGCAGTTAGATCCTTGGCCGACCACTGGCCCAATCTGGCTCAGTCCTGTTCAATCTCCCTTCTCTTGGCACCGCTCGGACGTGTGCATTTTTCCTTCGGCCAGGACCAGCGAGGAGCATCCTTGATCACTTGGCGAAGAAACCACGCACGAAACCGAACAAAAAACACAGGGCATGGACGTCCGAGCGATGGCGAGTTTTCCTTCGGCTGCCTCCCGCGGGGGCTGGCCCATCCCTGGGCTTTCCCCGGCCCGACCGAGCTGGCGGCCCCCGCATCGGGTTCGGGAGCCATGGATCGGCCTGGCGACGACCTCCCAGAAGTTGCCTCCTGACTGCCTCCTCCTCCTCCTCGTCGTCCTCCTCCTCCTCCTCCTCCTCCTCCTCCTTCTCGTCCTCCTCGTCGTCGTCGCCGTCCTCCTCCTCCTCCTGCCGCTGCCCCTAACTCAGGGCCCCTTTGGTTCTGCAGTCCGTCTGCCCCGCCCCGCCCCGCCCCGGCGTTTGTTCCCCCCGTGCCGATTTCCGCCCGAGCCATTTCGTGGACGGGGCCCTTGCGTACGACTGCTTAGCTTCCGCGCCGCCATTCTGGTTATGAGCCCGAGAGCGCGACTTCTCGGGGACGGCCAAGAGCGGGGTGACGACTAGGGTGGGTGGGTATCATGGCTGGGGCCATCATAAATCTTCCCCAGATTTCATGGCCCCCTCTTCTTCCAATACCCCCCCCGGGTCCGCGCACGTGCTTCGGGTCATGATTGGCCAACCCATCCCTTGGACGGCACGCTCTTGGACGCCGCCGATCCTCTTTGCAGCGCTCCGGAGGGCGCCGCAATCGGTTTTATTAAGGGTCCGACGCTCGCTGCGACCGCGGTATGAGCAGAAGCGCGTGCGAGCGCTCAGAGTGGCTGCAATACCCTCTGTGCCGCCTGGAGGGGCCCGATGTATGCACTTCATCGCCTGGTCATCCACGGAGCCGCCCGCTTCCGTTATGGAGTTCGTTGCATGGATGCGCTCCAGCACCCCGTAGTTTGTGAAGCTGGGGCGTCTATACACCGACCTCCTCGGCCGACCAGTCGACGTAGTGCATGCTTCGAACTCAGCGATGGTGTCTTACTGTTC